CTGCTGACGCTGAAAGGTAAACTCCGCAGCTCTGGCAGCAGAGCGCTGGCGTACGTGTCTTGCTCAGCCTCGTCTACGGCGATCTCCAGCAACTCTGAGTGCCTGCAATAGTACAATAATATAATATATTATGTATATATAGTAATATATATCAGTATAACATAATAATCTAAAATTAATACATAATTCTTTAAAAATTAGCACCGAATTTCAGTAACCAAACTGAGATAAAGAGGCATAACTCTGATAATACAGCGTTTACTTGTGTAATTATCAATAAAATGAGATAAGCATTAAGTTTTAGTCTTAAGTGCGAATTATTATTTTTTCTGATTATTATTTAACGCAACTGATTTCATTCTAGCATTCAATTAAACAGATGAATGTTACTGACTTAAATTCTCATATTTCCTTTAAAAACTATATTCAAACCTCTTCGCCACGACACGATGCCAATTTCCGTCGTCCAATTTTTTAGTAACGCAGAGCGACGTGCACACACGACCGTCCAAGCCAACGACAAGACAAACACTGGCGGTCTGAAGCTCCACACTCAGCCAGTCTGTGCGGTGACGTGACCGCAGAAGCACAAGTGTGCCGTCGCTTGTCCGCGTCCGGAACCTAAATAAAGCGGATGCAATGGGGATTATTATCCTTTAATACAGGTTTCGTAGAATAGTGAATAAAATTAAAATTAGTGATAAAATTTATTAAATCACAAACTAGTATGAGGCTCCCAACTAATATTTGTTTCTCTAAGTCATCCCTGAATTGAAATTTTATGGAGTTATAAAAATGAATTAAACCTATAGGCTATAGGTGTACAAATCTGAATATTATTTAGATAATAGACGATAGAACACCCTGCAATATCTGATGAATATAGCATTATTCTAGCATTAATTCTAGAAGTCTTTGAATGGTTACACCCACTCACACCCAATGGTTGAGTAATTCAACCTCTTCAAACCTTAACTCGATTTGCGCCCAATACTCGGGCGGGGTGAAGGCAAGAGCGACGTTGACGTAACTCTTGCTGAGGAAGAAGAGAGACGGCGCCTCGGTCGTACAGCTGGCACCCGCCCGCCCCGGTGCGCACGCGCACTGCTCCGCGCCTGGCGACCCCTGGCATCTGCGGTGCCGTGACGTAGTCAATAAATCGAGAAGCTCAGCAGACATGTTCTCATTAATATTACTAAGAAGCTTACTTTATACAAGAGGACAAAATGGGGAGTGGTGTCAAGAGATACTAAGAGGCGAGGCATAAAATAAATTATCGGTTATTTACGAGAATAAACATTTTTTAAGGAACGTTCAATAGGAACGTTAATATGTATCTAGAATAACGTTCATATTAAGTAAAATAATTTACTTATTCGAATTAAAACGTATAATAAGAAATTGCAAGCACATTGAAGTGTGGCCGCAGATGAGCAAAGATTTCAGTTCACTATTCCGGATGAATCAGACATTATGCTGTAGCAATTATTATTAACGCAAACAATCCTGGCAGGGTGCTTCTATAATCTGACCAAAAAATTATAAACATTTTATCAAAGGTATGAAAGAATTTAAAAATCAGTATAAGTAAAAAAGGACTCAAGTCAATAGACAAATAATACACGACAATACAATAGACAATTAATTTTATTAATACAATTAATAATAATAAAAAAATTAAAAAAGTAAATACCCCAATTTCGTACGAAGGCGGCGATTCAAGAGACAAATGCTGTCATCGGTAATTTTTAACAATTTAAAGGGAGAAACTCGACGGACAACAACGCTTCTATTTTAATAGCCTTAGATTACCCATTCATATCGTTCAGTAAGAAAATCGAAGCGAAGCTATAGTTTAATGAACAATAAGCGTACCGGGCGTTGCGAGGACAAGTGTTCGAGGGCCGGAAGCAGGAGAGGGCGCGACAGCCAGCCACGCTCGCGGTCATGGCGCCTGGCGACCCGAGGTCCTGGAATTGTTTGTTGACGCACGAAATGCCGGGTGAGAAGTTTGCAGTGTGGCCCCACCGTATGGCTCGGACAGTTACACCTGCCCGATACAGAATGATTTTGATGGAAAACTTTATTTAGTTCACAAAACTGTCTCAGATTATTATTTTCAGGCATTTACTTAGATTACACTGAAAAAATCTAATGCCAGCAGCCAAGGTCACTGGTTAATTTGATTATCCACTAAGTTTTAGTCATTGATACTCGGAAGTGTAGAGCTTCCCATGAAACATTGATACAATCAAATGAAGTAAAGGCCAGCTGCTCATAATATTTCGGCACAACGCGGTACCCAGGACGGTACCTGGACTCGGGCGCGGCATGAGGCAGACACTTGCCGCCGTTGCGGCAGGCGCGCCGGCTGCAGGGCGGCTGTCGCGCGGCCGTGACGGCGCGCGCCGAAGTCAGGCTAGCAAGCTGCCCGCGCTCTTCTTCGGCCCCGTCCTGCGCTGGACACCTGAACAGCGAGTGCTACTTGAGGAGGTTAGCGTTATCTTTCTCTTAAAATTTAGAACGTGATAGGGAGCTTTCGTATTCACGTCCTAATGCAAGGGATTACTTTTATGCGACAAGTGTCCCTGTAAAAAGTCTGGTTGGGTCCAAAACGAGATATTGATTTGGATTTTAAGATTTGTAATGTACTCTTTAGCTAATATTGTGGCGTGCCTTAGAAATCATGGTTTGGAACTGATATTTTTCCGTTTGTTTCATATCATATTAAAATATCTACCAGCAGCTAATCCATGATTTAAAAATAAAATGACTCATGATGCTTTTCGGGATTTAAAAGGATCTAGTTCTGGTACAACGAATTATGCGACTACAGGGCTTATAAAATTGTTCGGAAACTTGTAGCTTGAACAGTGCAATAGCTATTTCCGAATAGGTTGATTGAATATTAATGCTTAAATCTTTGTATGTCTAATTTGTGCTCTATTTCGCAGTTTTTCGTTAATCAAAAAGCAATCAAAAGTAATCAAATCACGAGAGTAAATTAGTTCTTGAAGTTCGCTTGAGTGACTAAACACAGCCAAATAAGAAATGTAACAAAATAACAGACGGGGGATATTCCACAACTTTACTATAGTGACAAAAAGAAGCAATTAAAGTATTTTTGTAGGCAAAAACATGTGCATTTTTTCACCTGCAGTAAGATTGTATGCGCAGGGAAGGCCCGGCGTGGCTGCGATCGCCGGCATCTGCGAGGTGCCAGCGCTGGCCCAGCGTCGCGATGTCGCGGCAGCAACAGCGGCACGCAACTCGTCGTGACGCGCACTCGCCCAGCGCCGCAACGCCCGCGCCCAACACAGCCGCTCCGACTGCGGCCTTGATCTGCCGTGCCCCGACCGTGCGTTACAGGATCAGGTCCAGTGATCGAATATTGCGTATATAAATACAAATGAGCTCTATTTTAAGACCAGCAGCATTTTAGTTAATAAGTCATACCTCGTGTTGATGCTGGAATATTAGAGACTCCAGAGAGAATCCGTGCTGGCTTTCCGGTGACCGTTGAAGCAACCACACTCTGGTGTGGCTATCATGGCTGAGCTGTATGGTTTCTACAGCCACAGTCATGACGTGTGGCTGAATGGCTGACATATCGTGGGACTTCAGCCAGTCTGTCCCTGCTTCAGCAGAGTATTCAGCAAGCTGCTGATTCAGCAGCTTCAGGAGTCGGTCCAGCAAAGATTCAGAAGAATCTGAGTTTGGTTCCTGAAATGTTTTCAGCTGTGTTACCAGGCCGATAACTATAGACAAAATTCGCATCATAGACGATCTCAAAATTCACCACAAAGTAACTGAAGCGGGAAAAATAGGCTACATTTAACAACTTTAAGGGTTTCTATCCACGGGCTTTACCATACGAGCATGATAAAAAGTATTGCAAGAGGCACAAAATAAATTTCATTACATAAAGAATTACAGTTATCTTATAAGCCGATAAGACTATATTCGTTAGATGAACCATAATAATCACGTATAAGATAAATATAGATTGAAACTGCTGGTGTTACACAGAAGCCGAAAGTTGCTAATACTGAACATATTTCGCATACTCTACTTTTAGGTGTGTTCCAAGGACGATTGTTCAGGTTGAAGCCCCTTTACTGATTAGTAAAACCCTACTTTATAAGAAATGACGTCTGCACATCTTATCGTTCATCACATCCGTAAAAGTGCGGCAGGATACAACAAAACACAGAATGTTAAAGCGGATCTAAAAGTTGGTCCGTTACTTCACCACTGACCTCAGCGTCAGAACTCGTCAGGAGGTCACGAGGCAGGATGGCGAGGTCGACTGGAGTAGATCTGAGCGCTTCAGCAACTCCGATGTTGCTGACGTCAGCGTAAACGGTGAGCTCTTGCTCGTCGCCTGACGTTGACGAGAGAAGCAGCTTCGCTTCGTGCCTGCAGGTATAGACATAATTGAAATACAATTGAACCTCGTCAGTCTGGACAGGCTTTAATTTTAACAGAGTTGCAAACAAGAAATCGAGCACCCAGTGCATGGGGCAAGAGGAGATGCTTAGGAATGAAATCTTTGTCGAATTTAGATGCCACTGCCATTCGAAATTCAGATCAGCCCATTGTCAGGAAGAGGCAATAAAATTCACATCACCCTTAACAAAATTCAGGCATCGCCCTAGCTTACGCACAAGAGTCGCTATATTCGGCTTAGAGCTATTCTGGATCTACTTTGCCACTCAATTGAAATAAACTTCTGGTCAGAATCTGCTTTCCGACATTCAAGTTGCCTGAGACTTTCCAACTTTCTAGTTGCTTTTCTCACCGAGTTCTATGCGGCGCCTATTTCAGGATAACCCACATCCAAATTTTGTTTAGGACGGGATGGATTTACACCAAAGAATTAACTTCTGGCTACTTGCAAAAATGATATTTCACCAGAAAATCGTAAACTTCGTTATTTAATCAGCGCATTCCTCCCATGGCCCAATACTGTGAAAGAAAAGGCAAGGGAATAAATATAAATCAAGTGAAGGGAATAAACATAAATCTTTATTCATTAACTCATCCTGATTCAAAATAATTATAATACACTCACAATCCCAGCCCAGCTGCAGGGTCCAGCAGTAAAAATCCTGAGTCGCTATCCAGGTGGATTCCAGAATTAGATCCCAGCCATGTAATTCTAGCGCTGGGTTTATTTAATCCACGGCTAGAATTACTAAAAACAATTTCAGTCTTAGGGTGAGGCTTATCGGAATTGAGCCTGAATTTATTCCAGAATTGATAAGACACAGCATCCGTTTCAGCGTTGGTTCCGTGGCGTTGCGTTGCAGCGCCAAGAAAGGGCAAGTGAGGGAGACGCCCGATGGGAGCATTAGAGGTTGCCTGCAGAATGTTCTTCAATATTCAATCACATATTCATACACACAAGGAAATGATACATAATTGCAACAGTAAAATGACATGCACCTTATAAATAACTATCTCAAATGAGCTTCCTTACTTCCCGGATAAATATTGAGATAAATGTAGTAATAAGATAAGATGTCGATCTGTCATCGCCAGATTGACACATGGCAACGGCTGGCAGGGATCACGACAACTGTCAGCAGCCCTTTAAACTGTCATCAGTACTCACGTGAACTGCTATAAGTTAGACAGGCTGCAGTCATAACTATCAGCCGTGCTCAAGTGAATTGGCAGCAGTATCATTATTCCTNGAGAGAGAGAGTCACTCCCTAGAGTGACGGGTGCCAGGAGAGAGAGTCGTGCCCTAGTGACGGGGTACTTGAGAGAGAGAAAGTACCACCTAGAGTCACGGGTGCCGGAGAGAGAGAGTCACGGGGGACAAACACCAGCTACACACCCGCCAACTCAACCTGCTGTGTAATATAAGGCCCCCGAAATTTCCATCCAGGGTCCTTCGATACGAATAGCATTGGAGAATACGGATAGCGTATCCTTAAACGTATAATAGACAAGGATACGGAGCATGAATGGACAATTGTGATCCAAAAATAAACAAAAGATCTTGTTGATTTGGAGAGTTTAAAATAACGTGAGAAGTACGCGTAACTGGAACAGAATACTTCCTTAACCAGCGCTATTTTGAATGAAAATAACGAATATAATATGAAATATATTTACGAACAAAATAAATCCTAATATTTATTTGTCCTGCTATGGTCATAACAAACTCAGTATCTCAATGCACAGATTAGCTGCTCCTGGGAAAACCTCGACCTCATAACGGAGTTACGAAGTGAATTGTTTACCAAGGAAAATTAAAAACTCAGGCAAGAAATGATCCATCTCGTCATCCGTTGCCGGGCACCTCCTGAAACTCCAATAGAGAAACCACATCGACACTAGAAAGTAATGGTAAAAATCTATACGGAGACTTTGGGACGGTTTCAGCCATTATACCAGCTTAAAATGCGCAAATAAAAAGTCGATCAATTGTGTTAAAAATTCATATTGAATATTTGATCATGCATATTTAGATTTTTCATGTTTGAATCAAGTCAGCGAGTGTTAAGACTGTGTTCAAAGTTTCGTGGGGGCTCTAAGATGATAGATAAATGCATGGCACTGTTTCTATGAATACTAAGCGTAAAAAAATATCTAATCAAAGGACCATGCTCTATAGTTGAGTTGTGTGCTACATGATTCGCGAACTGTTCGTAATGTCTTAGTTCAAGATCTTCCTTCATGATATTTGGTTCTTCCTTCCGGACATAATGCTAGACGTTTCCCCAACAGCTTTGAATGAAGAATTGGGTTGAAAATCCGGTAATATTTCAATTCAATAAGAGCTCCGTTACACAAAAGAATTAACACGCGCAAAATATACCACGCACGAACTGCATATATTCATCGCAGCAGAGCGATTACTCAACACAATGAGGAACCATGTACCACATTACGACGCACCTGGTCGGTGACCTGCACTCTGAAATTGAGTCCCGCTCTGTGCTGGGGGTTCTCAAAATCCAGCGGCACTCTAGAGAACAGGTCTGCACCAGCTGCGCCGGCTCTCACTTCCACCAACTGCCAGCCGAACCCGCTTCTCGGCACCACCTGTAGTGCGCGTGATGTACTATACGATGTTTTCGAGCTGAAGTGAGGTATCAGTCATTAAACATGCACGTATAGGTGAAGTACAATGTAAACAAGAGACGGTATTGTCACAATGTGAATCGATAAGTTCAACTTTAAAAATGCTCAAGCTGAAATTTATATGAACTTTTATGGTGTATTTACGGCAGCAAGATTTGAACTGGCGTAGCAAATGGCTTACGTTGCCACTATAGCAACACTTTTTCTGCATACAAATAAATGATGAACATGATTAACTGATAGTAGGCGAAAAACGAATATGTAATTGATGGAGAGAGTCTGTAGCGTGTCTAACATCGGTCAGTTACATTACTAGCCTCGCTCGCCATTAATGCGACTTTTTCAAGCGAGGGCCAACGAAGTTACGTTGATAAATTCATTATTATATATAAAGAATGAGATATGAAGATGATTTTCTATAAATGTGTCTATGAATCAAAAGCTCCACTTAATAAGAAAGTAAATCAATAATTACCCGGTATGCAAACACGTTGCTTTCATCAGGATCAGCCACCACGAGAGTCGTAATGAAATTTTCAGAGAAGTTGCTGCGGGATTTGGACGCTGAAAATTCTACGTTGGAAGAAAACATGGCGCTAGAAGATGAACCTCCATTCGGGAACGTCTCTTCGATGGGCGATAAAATTACGCTGGATGATGAAGCGTCGTGAGAGGACGATGCTCTGTTGGATGACGATATTCCATGGGACGAAGAATCATCGTAAGATGGTTGACGATATTCGGGGACCGAAACTTCCACGTGAGATTGCACGAAGGAAGGAGGAACATCGTTGACGTCGTCGATGTTTACGGTAACGCTGCAAGTACCTGAACAAACAATTATATATGCAAGCTCAATTCTTCATGAAATAAATATCATTTTACGGTAACTTGCTGTTTGACAGAGAGATGGAACTGATGGTTAATTTTTAATGAAAGAAAAATAATAATTAGTTATGGCCAACCAGAATTTTCTGGCATTATTTGAAATTTTTTCATTCGGTATATGGAAGAGTAAAATAGATTAAAGAAAATTACCACATGCATTTATATCTTCCGAGGTCTCCAGAATAAACGTAACTTTATAACTTTACGGCCACAAAAACTTCACGCGATGCGATACGGTCGCAAGAGAAATATTAACTGGCATGTGCGAGAGGCGTTTAGTTAAAAACGTTTTACTCATCACACGAGACACTACGTAAAAACTAAAGCTCTGCCGAAGTCTCTAAAACCACAGCTTAGATCGGCCTTGAAGGAACCAAATTCATAAGCAGCGCTTACAATAAAATAAAGAATGCGTTAAAGAAATGCCGCTGTGGCGTTCGTCTGGCGAAAGCAAAAAAGTTGTGACGCATCTTCTATAAAAGCTGCATCAATGAAGAATGTACGTACAGAGTCAACAAATATTTCTAAGATTATTAATGATATATTCTATTTTATTGTGACATAAGAAAAGACTTATATTATTGTATATAATCTAAATTATATATCAGTTTTAAAACCAGAAAACCTGAATATATCTGGAGTTAGTACTATTAAAATGCGATCAAACGTTTTGACATTGAATATTAATAAATTAAACCGTTACAGATTAAAAATTTAAACCCATGAAATAAGGTTAAATGCCGCTGAAAAGTAGGACGAGTTCACTTGTTAATTTAAAGACACGGAAGTATGCAGCAGTTTGCATGAATTAAAAAACACAACTATAATGGTTTACTTTTTAAAATTCATAGATTGGGCGGTTCATCAGTAAAAATACGGAGATATTCAACGGTTCCCATGAATGAAGAGTCGATGATACCGGTTCACATGTTCGCTATTGCAAGGACAGCGAGCGCATCAGGATAAGTTTGGACTTTGGACGCAGAGGCTGCCCCAATGAAATACAGTAAATGTTTCTTTGCTAACAGGAACGGGTTTAAATTTTCAATGACATAAACGCACATATTTTACGTGAAAAAATTTTCAGAAATCGTTAAGCTCTTAGCTTATCGATTTCTTAGAAATATTTCTTAAGCTTAACGATTTTAAAGGCCCTGACTGAAAGCCGTGCAAAGTCTGAGAGCGAGGTTTTCGCGACCATCGTGTAAAATCCTTGATCTGTCCGAAGCTCAGCCTGTCGCTACCCTCGAGCTTGTACTCTTTGTAATATGATATCCTAGCCAGACCCTTTCTCGCGGTCACTGGTCGCTTTCAGGTGGCCGAGGAAGGCCAACGGTCGGCTATAACTAATTGGACTCGGCCGACCGCTGGCCACGTATTATTCTTCGCCCCTCATTGACTTCGCCTTTACCATGCCACCTGTTGTGAACTGACAGTTCAGTAATTTACGACGTCTCTTTCCCCTCATGTATTCCACAACTCCTCCATTTGAGCAGCTAGTATGCGGGATTTTCCCTCCGCGTATATAGGCTGAAAAATTCCTTTACAATACTCAATTTTGGAGAAAACGTTTGAAATTTGAAAGTTACTATACGAGTATATTTACGGTATCATCTGGTGACGGTAACGTAGCTACACGAGTTAAATTAAAATACATTTGTTATAGTCCATCAGATTGAATTATCCAAATAGCGACAGAAAAGATTGCACAGTAGCTATCAGTTCTGCAGGCATCTCCCTCAGTATCTGGACCAGCGTCGTGGGATTGCAGGAATGCGCGCGTCAAAAGAAAGATTCTGGAATATCGAGAATATCAGGAATATTGTGACTGAGGCGACTCCCGCAACGTCAGACGAGCAGGAAATTTATTATTGGATGCACACTGTAAATTCTGATGGCATCACCAATGAAAGTACGATGAATGCTGAATTAATTAAGTAATGGAAAATTCGACAATATTTCGAGCACCGGAAAATGAGAAAACAAGGGAAATATATTCGGAAATGGTACGGTTTCTTTCCTCACAATGACCGTGAGTCAAAACCTGGAATAACGTTTATTGCTCACTCACGAATGATAACTCAATTCGTAAAAATTGCAGGAATAATCGGGACTAAACAACTTAAAGATTGGTCAAAAATGACAAGTACCATTAATTTTAGAGCCGTAGTTATTGAGAACTTGTTTCTGAAAACTAAATGCGTAAAATTTCCCGACCATTATTCAACAGAGCTGCAGTAATTCTGATTTAACATTGGTTTCTTGCGAGAATAGCTTGCCGATAACACGGTTATCCTACGTAGAGACGTTTGAAAAACTCGATGAAAACTCCGGTTAGCAGCGCGTGGAAAGTTTGTTCGAGTAGCATGCAGTTTTTGAGGAGCGGAATATAAGAAGTTCCTTTTTCCGACTTATTTTAAACGGTGCCTAAAGTCAACAATCGAAAACTAAAACTTTCCAAGTCATGAGTAAAAAACAGAGAAGACTTGCACCTGAAAGTAGAATTTTGATGTTATAATCTTAACAAAAATTATTTGACATCTTCCTGCGTTTAATTTAACAATAAATTAATTGATCAAGATTTTTTCCGGAATATACTAACATACTCTCGAATTAAGATCGCTTGGTTCCTTAAATCGCAAATTTAGCGGGAATGTAAAAGCATAGAAAATTTGTAAATTTTTTCCTTATTTTTTATATATTTCAAACTTTCCAAAAATCCCTCTCATGTAGGTATTTTCTGTGATTATTCCAATCTACAACACAAGTAAATCAAATTCACCACGAAGCTTCAATGCAACAATAGTCTATCTTTTTCGATTGCAAGGTTATACAATTTGATGGCCAGTACCAGACTTCTTTTTTCCGAAAATCGACGTTTATCAGTTTAAGCACCAGCTTTTTTCAACTTTTGTTCATTCCGTTTCAAATTAAATGAGATTTAAACGTTATTTAACGCGGCTTCTTTGGGCCCGCATCTGAGGCTATGGGCAAAGGAACTGAAAGCTGTATTCGCTAAATACCTCACGAATGTAAAACTTTATGTATTGCTAGTGAAAAGAATTAAAATCAGCTTGTTTTTGAAGTACCAAGATACTCTCCTTGTTTCTAAGCGATCTTCCCTTGAGTATATCAATATAGGTGTGCAGTGCGCATCTGCATATGTCGGTATGACTTCACGCAATTTTGATACTAGGCTTGCGGAGCATATATAGAGGCAGGAGTTATAGAAAAGAAAACCTATTTGCACATCCCCCTCATTCAGCCGTACGCATTTATGCCGAGCAGTTTAATTAACGTCCTGGCATCCAGTAGTGATCCCAGAGTTTTAGCCTTCGCAATCGGTGTTTCCGACCTACGAATTTTAGAGTCATTGTATATTTTCTAACAGAAGCACAGTATGAATGCCGCTTAGAGTTCGATCCAATACTCTCCAAATTGTAATAGATAGTTCCTTATGCTCGTTTTTATTTTATTTATATTTGTTTTAATTTTTCGACATTAGTTTTAATGTCGCCAATTTTAGGTGAATTTTTAATGTAAATTTTAGGTCACAAATTGTTGGTACCTGGGTTCTAAGTTTTGAACTAACGATGGAGCTGGACTGCGAAACGTTTTCTCTTATAAGAAATGGTGAACTTTTTGGTAATTTTCTTTGCTTTTAAATTATATTCTGAAATTTTAGGGTAGATTTCAATTTATAACCCCAATTCCAAGAATTGTAATTGTTCATTCGTCATGATTAGTTATTCTTTCATTTTTTTCAAAAACTTGTAGAGAACATTAATGAAAATTGAAGTATGATTTAAAAAATCAATTTTATTGATTTAGGGTCTTCCAGTTACAATAAATTCGTAAAAATATTAAAAGTACATAGCCTGTTACGAACTGTTTGATTGCTTTCAGTATTGAAAAAAATTGGTTATGATAGATGCCACGGAAAAGTTTTTCCCTTAATAACTTACACATGAGTAAAAATCGTGAACATTGTAATATAAGTTCCGTCATAATTATGAAGAATAGTTGCGATGCCATGTCATTCAACAAAGTCTACAAAACGTTTCAGGAAGATCAGCGTCAACATTTAAGCTCAATCCCTCTCTCTCTCTCTTCGTACTATAACCCCAGTATCCGGCTATTGATATCTGGCTGTAAATCTGCCTGGAAACGGGCATGGACGGAAAGCACTTGTATGCATATATAACGTTGTGAAATTCCTGCCATAATGCAGCTGCTATGACTGCGCTGTAGCGGCATTGGATGTGGAGGTTGTCTTAATGATTTCGTGGTTCTTAATAGCTGTGCTACTTGCTAGGGCTCATGCCCGCAAACAAGATAATGCATCACCGAGAACATGTTCTCTGAGTGACGTGAGATAATCGAGTTAATCGCGATTTTGGACAAACCCGATTCTCAGTACGTGAGAACATTGAGCCTCACAGTGTTTCGGTGCTCGTGAGACGCTGCTATCCTCGAGAACATATCTCACAAACCCTAACCGACACAGAGCATTTGGCTAAACCAGACGCGAGGCACGAGTTGCTCTAGGGGACTAAAAACTGCATAGGTGCGTGTTCCATCTCACGCCCTTTTCTATCGACGTCTTGCTTTGGCTAGTACATAAATGTATATCTTCAACAATAGCACATGCGTGTTGGTTTTGCTCAGGTATGGCTGGTACCCACAACATCCGCTTTCCGTTCTCGAGTTGTTGAGGCCAATACCACGTATCTGCAGAGCTGGGCAGCGCTACTTTGAAATGTAGCGGCCGCTACCGCTACCGCTACATGCTCTAAATGTAGCGGCCGCTACCGCTACAATTGCTTAAATGTAGCGCCGCTACTGAAAGTGTAGCGGCTGCTACATTTAGCGCGCTACTGCCCACCTCTAGTAACAACTAATATGTTGATTGTTGACACTAGAAACAGGCTGAGGTTGACATTACACCGAAATATTTCGTACAGTTTTATTCTGTAATTTAAATTATGTATGTATCATGCTGCTGCATGGTTTTTAAATAATTTAATACTATTAAGTAAAATCTAAAGGCTTTATCTATAAATGTAGCGGTAACGCTGTAGCGGCAAAACCTCGTATCGCTACTTAAATATGTAGCGGGTGCTACTGCTACCGCTACAACTGCTTAAATGAAGCGCCGCCGCTACCGCTACTGAAAATGTAGCGGCCGCTAGTAGCGGCCGCGACATGTAGCGCGCTACTGCCCACTGCTGCGTATACTCGCTTTAGTTTCCACTCTGCACGTTTTCTACCGCAGTTTTGTAAGACGCTGCCGCAATTTAGTATATACTTTATAGGCTATAGCGCGTCACAGGACACTTGATAAACTCAGACGTCTGGCAAGAGGTGCTCTAACGGGCCTGATGCGGCGTAAGTGGCGTTGTCGTGGCGTTCACATTCTTTTCTGTGAATCCCGTCGGGAAAAGAGCCCTTAGTGGTCGTGCCTATATATCTCCTTTCGCTCATCGAAAAGCTTGAGTCCTCGGCATTCGCTTTTGACACTTTCAGGAGAAGCTGCAGCAAGTACTTACGTTGCTGCTTCAGGATATTTGTTGCGCAAGGAGCCAAGGACCCACGAATATACGTTGACAAATTTACTATTCATTATGTATAAAATGTGATAAGATTCCGTATTATCTGATCAGAAATGTTCTTCAATGATATGATGGACTGTGAGGCGAAGTTTGACCTGAAAATATCATATATTATTTGTATTCTATTATAGAATGTCTTGCTCTCGAAACGTCATATTTGCTTCAGAAAATCGTGTGTAAAAAATTTTTAGCTGAGTATAAAAGATGTCTTTGGACTCAAACGCACCAACGTTACGAAACGTAATAAAGTTGAAATGCAGTTCCCAGAGAAGTGAGCTCTTTTCAGGATGTAAACTTACACATAAGATGAAGTAATATGGAAGGGAAGGAAACGCAATAAAAATGTTCAACCATTTCCATATTTTTATGTTAATGCTTCAGAGTTTTTATTCTTTAAATGCCTGCAAGTTTGTCTACTCAGTTTTAAAACGTATACTTGTAGACAATAACTTCTTAAAAAAATAGTAGAAATAAACAGTAAATTAACCAATTGAGCGTATAATAACTAAATTCAGACAAGAAATATCAAACCCTAAGCTGTAAGAAGGTCGTAATTTCATCCAAACTTCAATAGAAATCCCGTTAACTTCTTGGACGTGAAGCATTGCTTGTTCAAAATAACGATGCGGAGCTGCCAAATTTTTGACGAGAGAAATTTCTTGCTTAGATTCTCATGCCGAGAATTAGACAATATTTCCAAAAATAAAAATATTTCTAAACTTTTTACCTGCCGGTTGAAATAATTTAGATTCGAAATTGAGATAGACATTTTTTATTTGATTTTATTTTCTTCATATTTTTCAACGGATAAGACTTGTTAATAGTTTTGTTGACTTGTTAATAGTGTTGTTGACTTGTTAATAGTGTTGTTGACTTGTTAATAGTGTTGTCAGCTTTTGAGATTAATGGCGAACGCGACGATTCATCTGGAACGTGATTTGGTAATCGTTATTTGCAGCCCTCCATCATTAAATTTTATTTCAAGTGCGAGTGATCACTGTCAGTTTTCGTTATGGTTAATTTAAGTTCACAATGCATGTTCCTCTTCATTTGCAGACTTCGAAGTGCTCTTAATAATGAGCTGTGCCTCATATTGTGGAGCGACCAGCTCCTTCGCCAGACACTTTTGACTTTTATTGAATCCATACATATTTACATGTATATATAATATATATATGCTTTGCTAGATATGAGAACAGAGTTATTCTTCAAGCTTAATGTATTATAAGCCCTTCGTCCTACTTCTTCCACTTTAAATGTTTTCCGACAAAAATGGCCTCTTAACAGTCTCTTAAAATTACAGCTTGGTCTCAAAAGATTTAAATGTGTGTGGATAGGGTGGTTATTAAAAATTACAAATTTCACTCGAAAATTTTTGCTATTTTATTTCGTGTTTTATTATATTGCGTTGTATGCTACTATTTATGAATAAGCAACAATAAACAATGAAAGACAATGATTATTTCACAAATAATATTTTTGTGGTGCGTGATTTATTTTTCCTTATTTGTATATATTGTCTGTCTCAACAGAGTTTGCGAATAAATGTCTAATGGGTTTAATGCCTCCGTATACAAGCCTAACAGTGAAGTTACTTTTTATAAAGTTGCGTGCGCCGTTGCTTGCCTTGGCTCTACACTTCAAAGTGTTCTTATTAAATATAGAACATTTTTATTGCATCCTTATTTTGCAATATTTGTACAATAAATGTTTCATTATTAAAAACGAATGAAAAACTCGTTAACACAGCATAAAAAAAGTTGTCACCTGCCAGCGAGTTCTCCAAGACATGTGCGTCGATGACGTCATGCGGGAAGACAGGTACGTTGTCGTTGACGTCCTTGAGGTTGACGACGACGTCAGTGGAGGCCGTGTACTGCCCGTCCGTAGCCGTGACCGTCAGATGCCAGCGCGCCTGGCCCGTTGGTGCGTCGCGGTCCAGCGGCTGAAAAATATTTGAATATCTTTTTACGTTCAAGAACCTCGATCACTGAAGTAGCGGGTTCCTCTTTAATGTCTCATCCCTGATCTGATCTTTCAGGAGAGTAAGGGTACGTACACAGTGGAAGCAGGTTTGCCCGCGCGGGCAACCTGCTCCAACCTGCCACAAGAATGAACATAGGATAATAATGTAAGTGTTCACAGGGAAAACCTGTACGAATAGGCTTCTGCCGACAACCTGCTTATACCTATTTGCCGGAATGTGCTGCACATTCTTATCTGCTCAACCTGCTTGGCATATGGTCATTTTGAATTAGTTGTACCTTTAAAGCCTCCATTTTCTTTGTTTCTTTGGCCCTTTTGTG